GTTACTGAAAAGGGTAATGTGTTAAATTAATTCCTATCGGACAAAAACCATGATCAAATAGTAGGGTTGTAACAAATATCAAGTAATTTAATAAGTATAATTTGGTAACGAAAAATGTATTTAAAATTTAGGTTGCATTTAATTTTAAGTTGGGTGCAATCTTAACCACTACCAATTATTCGATGTTCAATTTAAGTTAATAATATAGTGAATAATAAACGTTATAAGAATATTATAATCCAATGACAAATTGGGCAATTTTTTAAGTAGTCCATCGTATAAGAATTGTTTTTGACATTTCAAACAGATTCTTTAATTCTTATTTACGTCCTTTATCTTTATGGTTGAACCACTCGACAGTAATCTCGGATTAAAACTAAGTTTATAAGGGTCATATACCCTTCGTTTAGTTGTTACACTGCGTCTGCACTGTTCTATTGTTCCAGTTGTGTTTCAGCCAACATTTACATCTCTAAAGGCAAATAAAATGGCGTAGGTATAATTAATTCATTGATAATAGGTACATTAAGTCGTGTACCACGTACAGGATGAATGCAGTTACACGAATATAGTATTCATAATTCCAGTAAGACATTTACTCAAGAGGATGTCAGTGCACTATTTGTTTTCTCTCTCTGGCCCACCCGCAACATTGACAAAACTAGAGATGTAAGCTCGATAAATTTTTACCTCGTACATTTACCGGTAAATTTACCAATTATTTTTTTACCAAAAAAATTTGTATGTGGCACCTCAAATTAAACGTCTTCACGGGGCTAATATTCATTTTTTTTTTTTTTTTGCGTGATATCGAGGACCGGAGAAGGAACCAATTTTGCCAATACTTCTCCTCTGGCCAATATTCATCAGTCATAACATATTAATAAAATGGAATAGTTTATATTATATAAAATATAAAACGTCCACAACCACTGATAGTATAGTAGGTACTTATACTACATAACATTACGAATACACCATAAGAATATCTGATACGATCAATTTATTATGACAATTAATATAAATTTGATTTTATCACAGATATTGAACCTCTTTTAAAATATTAGTAATGTTAAACTTTTCAAGGCTTTGGGGCATTGGTTAAACTTCTCTGATAATTTTTAAATGTTCTATGCATAATTTTAGTATTTTTTACACATATTAGAATAATAGAACTAGAACCCCAGTGGCACAAAATTTAAAAATAACGACCACCCTGTTCAATTGAACACCTTATTATCCAGTAAATAAAAAAAATAAATGTTACCATAATTATAAGTTCATGGAAATTCGGCAGAGAGGAGTTTCAAGGGGTGTTCCTATGGTGACATACCAAAATTATCAAAATTTACAAAATTTACGTACATTTTTCTCGGTATATTCCAAAAAAAAAAAATTTAAAACGTAAATTTTACATCTCTAGACAAAACGCATTTACGCAGTCATTTTTTCTATGTATTTAAGTAATCTTAGAGTAAAATCACCCATTACAAAAATTGTAGAAAATAATATTTTAAAGGAAATTACATATCGATTTTATATTTTATTGTTATTTGACTTTGTTACTCTAAGATTACTTGAAAACACAGAAAAAACGATTCTGCGTAAATGCGTTTTATCTATGTTGCGCTTGGGCCAGAGAGAGAAAACAAATGGTGCGCTGATATCCTCTTGATAAAAAGTTTTACAATTTTTTTATAAGGTATCAATTCTTATTTAGAACAATAAGCAAATGTGAGAGAGAGTTGTTACATGTGAAGGTTTTTTAGGGAAGAAGGCATCCATTAGTGATACTATACCTGTTTTGAGTTATTTAATAAAAGTTAATTTTAAAATATAGCAGTTCAATTGTATTTAAATTGATAACTAATTTATAATTAAATTGTAAACTTTTTGAATGTATCAACAGTTTCATGTTTTCTTTAAATGTAGGTATAGGATATAAGGTTTTTTAGGGAAGAAGGCACTCATTAGTAATACCATACCTATTTTGAGTTATTTAATAAAAGTTAATTTTAAAATATAGCAGTTAAATTATATTTAAATTGATAACTAATTTATAATTAAATTGTAAACTTTTAGAATGTATCGATAGTTTCATTTTTTTTTTAAAATGTATAAGATATTAATACACTATGTAGAAATACACTTAAGATATTTAAAGAAATAAAAAACTAAAAATGGATAATTTAATTTTAAATGTTGGTATATAATTAGGTAGGTACTTAAATGTTATTTAGAAGTTGAGTGAATGCTTTTCTGATATTATACAACTAATATATATATAGTAAGCCGTCGTCAGTGAAATCTTGTTGAATTGTTTAATGGGTATCTGATTTTATTTTTCATTAAATTAAAATCCAATGGTTTTGGTTACTCATCGGCATAATCGCTCTGTATACCTATAAGAGGGGAGCTATAGTTTTAATTTATAGCCTTAAGGATTTAATAAAATACAACCCTGTAAAATGGTTGTGTGCGCGTGGAGACGGTAAACTGTCATTTTGGTTCTGCGGAGGCGGCGGAGGGACAGCAAAAGCGGTGGTGAAATGAAAACAGAGTTTACCCTACAGCGCATCGGTGCCTGTGGTGAGATGGGGAGGGTGATGGTTTTATGGCCCGGAGACTAGATAGGCTGGCTGCTTCTAGAAGCTTTTTCATTCAGATGACTTGGTTTTGGGGATCCCCTCAAAGGTCTATCAAAGGCCGGTGTCCTGTGGGCTGGTTGTTTTTCCGGTTCTGGGAAAAGCTAATAAAATGCTAATTCAGTGTTTGCCGCCCAGTAATGAAGAAGTTTTAAGCGGGCCAACCGGCAGTGGCGGTGCTACTGTCAGTTTTCCTTTCGGATCTATATATATTTTCCCGTATACCTATGTATAGGGTGGGTGTAGGTGGTCGGGAGTGGGGGACAGATGTCGCGCTAAATGGGGGAGTGGGTGTTGGGTAGAACCGTGCAAATGTGCTAAATTAAGAATCTCTGAACACAGCCCTTTGCTATAGACCAAATGATTTTAATTAATTGGGTTTGGTGCTGTTTATATTATACACGCCCACGCCTTTCGCTCTAGTACAATGTTTAGTTGGGAAATTCTCTTGCCGCAGTATCCAACAAATGAATTTAAATATGGCAACGTCCCTGGATAAATTAAGTGGGTTCTGTTTGAGCACCAACGATTTTCGGTCGAAACTCGTATACCTATATATAATATGTCTATGTATATTGGTGCACTATGTAGTAGAGTGCCGCTAAAGGAGTAATACGGGAGCTTGTGTGTTTATTCTGTTGATAAGCAAAGTAGGATTTTATTAATTTTAGTTAAATGTCATAAATTATTATGTTGTACACCTCCAGTACCAAAACTCAAAAACTACATGAGAAATACAATTTTACAAGACAATCATAAATATTCACATACACGTTACATTGTCATACTGAGTCGAGTACGACGAATTAAAATATTATATTTAATTTTTTTTTGGCTTACTGCATTCAAAGTTCACGATTTACACTATAGATGTGGTTTAAAATTTCAAATATCGATACAAGTGTTTGTATAAAAAATGTCGATATAATATTATAATATTATCATAATATTATAATATTATGCGTCGTACATTTTTTAAATAAACGCTATAGTATAGTTTTTTATTCATTTAATTCAATTTGAAAGTAGGTGCCAATTTAATGGGCACTGCAATATTAATGATGACAATCACAGCATACAGATATTACCAAACTTTAGTTTCAACGATGATAATTCACATGTTTGCTTTGTTGGACGTTGGCATGCAAGGGTAAAGATGCCGGTATTCACTGGTCAGTGGTCAGCAACGTTTATTTTAGTGATAGAAAAGAAAAATTTCAAATGACTAGCTCAATATAATCAAAAACAATATTTATGAAATTACAATAATTTTATACAATAATATTCCGAGAACAACAAAACTTCTAATATCTATTTTCTAATAATTCTTATGGTTATAACTTATATAACTTACAATATATTTAGATGAACAGTAAATTATAATACTATTGTATAATAATATATACGATTTATGTACATTATCCAATTAAGTATAATAATAATATGTATATATGCATTAACATAAGTAAATACACGAGCGACATCCGAATGCACTGGTTCTCAGTGTACCTATAATACAGTACATTTTGAAATAGTGATAAAATTAATAATAGGTATGTACTTATTTACGATTACAATATTTCATAAATATTACCATTTATTTGGGAACCGTCAACTTTACGAATAATAACTAAAATAATAATACAATTCATTATATACATAAAATGTGTGGAATGCGAAAGTGATGACTTCGGTGGCATAACCTACTCTGCAGAAATAATTCGTTCATAGCACCGAAAACATCGCAATCAAGCCTTGAAGATAACGATTAGTATTTTTGTAGTAGTCATATTGTTATACTATTCCAACGGTTTTGTCGATATTATTATTAGTATTTTACCTATAGAGAAACTACTAAATAATAATCAGGGCTCCGGACTTTTACCAATGCAATGCAAATGATTTTATATATTATATATATAGGTACGTTTCAAGCAGTATATATCATAAACCTTAAATGATATATTTTCGGGAATTAGAACAAAAAAATCATATTAGATAGTTCCATACATAGCACGGATACGAAATTGCATTAAAATGTATAATTACTGAAAATATTAAGGATTTGTTCCAAATACAATGCCACAAATGCAGTTTCTGATTTGAAAACGAATTGCTTATCTGATTGGTATTCTTTTTGTAATAATATTTGAATTTAGGTAATATAATAATATAATTTTTTAATTTTTTTTTTTTATATTCTGCACATATACGTAATACGTAAATACGTGAAAAATTTAACAATTTATTTTGCATATGAATCCGAGACTGGATACAATTTTTATTATTATTATTATTATTGTTATTGTTGTTGCGGCTGTATACCTAGGTACATAAGAAGTATCGCGGAGGGCCCTAGACCATTTGCATGCCTTTCGTGATGGACTCGACGTGCTCCTTGGCCTTGAGCCTAAGTACAGCTATGGACGATGTCCTGGGGTCGGCAGTGGACACCGCGGACGACGAAGACGTGGACATGGACGACGACGACGGTGGCGTGGCGATGGTGATCTGCTGTTGCGGTGATGGCGGCGACTTCTGTGCGGACGACGGCGGACCGCCGCAGTGCACCACCGGCGGCGTCAGGTAGCTCGGGTAACCCGTCTGCGGGTGCGACAAGAAACCTGGTAACGCGGACAGCAGCGGCGGCGACAGCCACGGGTCGACGGGCAGCGCCAGGCTGGACCCGGGCATCCGGCCGAGCGAACCGGTCATCGTTGAGTGCACGTAGTCGTTCAGGCCCAGTCTTGCCGCCTCCATCTTCTCCTGTCGGCGCCACTTGGCCCTCCGGTTCTGGAACCACACCTGCGAACACGCAAACAAACCAACGACGGCTATTTAATATTTTAAACTCCAGTTGGTTTTCGTACATTATTGGTCGTAAAATAAGGGTAGCTATGCTTCGAGATATAGATTGCATATTAATATGTTATATAGTCATCTCGCTCGGGTAGGGACGCGCCACTCTATTTTTTCAGTCACATTTTATTATCACCTTGCAGTGATCATCATATGGTTACATTTGTTTGTACTTCTAATATAAAAGTAAACGTATATGGGAAAAGGTTAGGCCCATAGGCGTACGAAGGGGGGCAGCAGAGGCAGCATATGCTGCCCCTGGACTTTCTTTGGAGCCACCGGGGCCGGCAAATATCAAACAATGGGCCTCGGTAAAATTATATTTCCACAAAGGATATTTTTTGTTTTGATGAACTATAGATAAATATTTTATACAGGCTTGTAGAAAAATACACTTTTAGTGGCTTAGTACCTTACTGTACAACCTTTTATCCAAAAAAACAAATAACCTATACAATTTTAATTTTGATATCCAATAGTAAAAAAGGTAAAACTATGGGCTGGTTTTAATGGTGAATTTGAAAAATGGGCCGAATTAATCTCTTGCTGCCCCTGAAACCGGAGGCTGCGCACGCCTATGGTTAGTCCTGTGAATAACGATTATTGGCTATATCATCAGATGGGTTAAGGGCAACAGTATGCACGAGCGAACAGTTAACGTAATAACACGGATGAGTGAAGATGAGTTATCAATATGGTTAAAGGATGATGATGGGTTATTTTCGTCAGCCACACTCTGAAGAAGGGTAATATGACAGTTGCAAAATCCGAAAAAGTCACCGGAGAAAAAAAGCACCTTTAGATTATACTATTTTAGATAGTTTTGTTAACTACTCAACTATTACGATATAATAATATAAGTTATATTCCATTCCAAGTAACTTTGACCATCGCAGGACGGTTAGAATGCTCTACCTCTGCAGCGTATACCATGTAAGAGAATTGAGAATCATAATATGCAAATGTAATACATATCATAACATTATATAGGAATTATACTTTCATTTATCGCTGCAGTAGGTAGCCAATTTTAGGTACTACGGCTATTGCTATATATTAATATTCTATCATGGACGCTTAAACACTAGTACGACAGTATGATACTATTATTATTGTATGACCTAGAAGATATTATAACATAGTTGGGCGATGCATATCAAACATCAATCTATCTAACAATTACGGTGCAGATTGGATGATGTAGGATTCAATTATATTTTTAGTGAAATCTCATGTCATCAACAAAGTCCCCGTCCAATGTGACCCTATAATATATTTTATAATACTGGATTGTCCGTGTTCCAGCGATGAAATCGTCTGGAGCGGCGTGTTTTCGTCGGGGTGGATTCAAAGAAAACTGGGAAGCGATAAAGCGTTATTACTTTAATGTAGGTTTTCACAATTCAACATGGGTAGGTACTTACAACACATTACGTCGTACAGTACAAACGTGAATAGCGAAAAATAATAAATTAATTTTTATAAAAAGGATTGTAAAGAGTCTGGCAAAGACATATTCGGTGGAAAAGACGCAGGTATAAAGATGTTATAAATATATTTACAGCATGTTTATATGCACACATAGTACATACATTATAATATATATAAAGTATGTAATATTATATTATAATGAATTTCTTGGGTCGTAGCAATAAGCTGGTCTCTGGAATAGCGATAAGATCAATGGAGTAGAGGAAGCGGGGAAATCAGTAAAAAAAAACATGTCTCGCACCTTGCCCGACAACCCATGGGGTTTGAAAGAAAATGATTTTTATTATTATTATTATTATTATTATTATTGTCGTATAAACGTGCAGGTTAGGACGAGGTGAAGGAAAAATAACATAAAAATGAAAGTAAACTTAATAAAGCACGGCAAGAAAAACCAGCATGACCGTCGCATGGAAAAAATAAACAAAATGTGTATAGGTATAATATATCTATATATATATATATATATATAAATATATTATTATATGAACAACCAGGAATGAAGAGAAATACAAAATACCTTCGGTAACTCAATTTATATCCATTTTTCTAGAGCGTAACTCGATTTACCGATTACTGGGACGTAAAACGTTCTCAATGCGACTAGCGTAAATATTATATACTTTTACCAGTTTTTTATTTTTTAAGGTTGAGAAGAAAATTGACGTTTACAATAAGGGCGAAAAGTCTTTGATGTTTCCGTATACACGTGTACCGTATATAAGTATACTATATATAAGGTAAACTTGATGTACAACATTTTTCTCATTATTCAATTCAAATTTCATAAAAAAAAAAAAAAAAACATTGCCATTTCGTGATTTATTAATCAAATAGCTTTTCTATAGTGACTGAGAATATATACTTAATAATATATATGTAGTACCTATATATAGGTTTTATTCAATCGCGGGCGTCGCACACGACGACGAAAACAAATTATAATGGTCTTGCGAAAAAAAAAATATTAAGTTTTCTGTCTGCACGTCATTACCACGACCATAGATTTAATACAATTTGGTTTAAATACACCGGTATAATTGTATTTATATATATACGGAAACAAGTCGCTAGTGCGAGGCCTAATCGGTATTTATATGATGCAAAGGTTATTTGGTTAGGGGATGCATTTTCGTTTCGTCTGTTTTCAGAGCTGAAATGTCTTCAGACAACCTACAACAATGTTTTAACTTTTAAGTAATACAAAGTATTTTGCTGTATAATATGCTCTTTTAAATAAGACGATTCAAGTAGTTAATATAACGTTTTAGCCAGTGCGTCAGTCGTTTGTTGAGTGATATATGACAATAATGAATAGGTAGGTATCACATAACCATGATATTCCCCTTTCACCCGCCACCCTCGGTGTAATATGTGTTACGTGTGCTGCGTCGTATCTGTATGCAATCTTATATTCGATTAGGGGGGGGGCTTAGGTCGTTATCTAGGCTACTCACCCTGCAGAATGTTTTCATTATCTGCATCTACTGAGCCTTTCGCTATGTAAGTACGCGATTTAGGATCCCTGCGCATAAATCAAGCACGGCCATAGGCTTGCGCACAAGGGGTGCAAGGGTGTGCCTGCAGGGCACCCATACAGTTTTGTAATTGGGGCCCTAAAGTTTAAGTCCCAGAGCATAGGGCCCGTATTTTAATTGATTTTAGGTACTAGAATTAAATGCGATTTTTTCTTAAATACCCGTGTGATAAAAAAATAAATCATAATAAAAAAAATAATAAAACGTACAATATTTTGAAATTGAGTGGAATTACAACTTGCTATGATTATAACAGCTAGATTTTAATGATTATCCAAAGTACAATTAAATAATAAATAAAAATTGCAATTATCTTAGGAATAGATATTGATCCAAGGAAATATATAACTATATGATAGTTATTATAGTACTATAGTGATTGTATAGGTACCAGTGTACCACCGATTAATATGTACATGTCTTGTTTGGGAAGGGCCCAATAATATTTTAGCCATTCAGGTCTGCGCACGCCTACGAGGACGACAGACCCAGAGTAAGGAAATATGGGGGTGTATATTAACTTTAAGATAATATTATAATATATTATCATAATTCATAGGTATCGCATAATTTCTCTTCTTTTTTATGTAGGTATAGGTTATTTATTGAATAAAATACTATTTATAATAATATACCTATTCAATTATTCGAATATTACTATAAAATTCCCTGAAAAAATTAACAACTGTGTTTTGATTATTAGTTGTGATAATATGAAATTAAAAATATTTTGCTTGATTAATTATTTGATTTACATGTACGATATAATATGTATTTTGGACAATTTTTTCAAAACACTTAATTTGTTTTTACTTTTAACGCAATAAAATACAATTTTAAAATGATTTAACAACCGACAACATTGTAACAATTTCCATACGGAATTGTGTATAATAGAGAAATAACTAAGTAAGAAGAAAATTATGAACTGTGGGTGGTGCTAATAATATGATAAATACTATAATGGAAATAAACGTTCAATAATAGTGCGTCACGACGTAATTTCGTAATGTCATCAACCGATCGATTAATTATTACGGAAATTCATTCTTAGACTACCATCATACAATAACTCGCGAATAATTATATTAATAATTTATTATTACAAAAAAACATTGTCGCCAACATGCATACAGATGTAAAACATTTTATTATACCACATAATATTATAATATATATATATATATATATATATGTGAATGGGTCTATATAAATGGTATAATATAATGTAGTGCATGCGCAGCGGCGACGGCAGTTGGTCGGAAAGGGTTCATCTCAGCGAGGGGCATTTGATTATGTGTGTTTTTCTCTCTTTCGTTATCTGATTTCGTTATAATAACAGAATATAATGTCACGTTAAAAGGGTCTGTCGCGATTAGGGTCGGCCAAGAGTTTTTATTAAACGAGCTTCAATATAATGGAATAAAACGCGCGACAATATATAATATAATATTATTTTATAATAGCCCGTCGCCGAGTAAATACGAACACCGGTTTTTGGGCAACGGACGACAGAGGGTGAAAAAATTGTGTTTTTTTTTTTTTTTATGTACTGAGTCTATTATTAGGGTTCAAGAGTCGTCGGCGGCACTCGAGTACGTAGGTAGGTACAACACAACTCTGACGCACACATTGCTGCAACAGCTCACACACGCGCTCGTTCAAATAATATTTTAGCGTACCCAACAACCTCTTCAGCGCCGACACGATCTCGCAAATATTCGGAAATTTAAAACTACAAACTATATATAGGCACCAACCGAATCAAAAACAAATTTAACAAAAAAAAAACATTGGTACGAATTCCGTCATGCGAAATCGTCGAGTCTCGCACTCGCCCCCCCCCCTCAAAATCCCAACCCCCCTGCAAACTGTATTATAATAACTTCACTATCGCCGTCGCGTCACTCATCGCTA